CAAGCATGTGTTTGTGTGTATACTTCTGGTGTGTCTGTGTTCCTGTGTTTACATGTTGAGATGTGTTGCTGTGTTTGTGTGTTTGTGTTTCTGTTTCTCTGTCTCTGGTACAGAAAAGGGGTCAGAAGAGCTCTTAGCACTGCAGTGTCTGATGTTCAGAGGAATTCCAGGGTGAATAATTAAACTCCATTTAGAAATGCTGCTGCCCTGCACATATTTATGATCCGGGGACCTGCATTTCTTCCCCTGACCAGTGTCTCCGATGCTCCCATCACCGTGTCCCTTCCTGTCTGTGTCTGGTCAGCGCCCCCAGCCGGCGAACCGCCTCTGCTGCAGCTCCCGGGAAGGTTTGTCTGAGCCCAGACTGGCTTCCCCTCACTGGGTGTGTCAGTGTCTCTACACCGCGGTGCCCTCGGCTTTCAGGCTGTTCATGTGCAAGCAGAAAGTGGTGCTGTCCTTGAAGGCTGTAGATCTCCCCTGCATGGAGGAGGCGTAACTGTGGATGGAGGGATCATAGTACCTGGCCAGCCACTCCAGCCCCTTCCCAGGCTCCCGTCTGACAACCATCATTGGGTATTTATGTGTATTTGCTTACAGGTATTAAACAACTTCCATAACTAATGGACTCCCTGCCCTGCGCACTATCTCACATGTATGGGCCTCATGAAACAACGCCTGTCCATCCGGTCTGAGAACCTAGGGCCGTGTCACGTAATGGATCTCTCACCCACCCAACTCCCTCTCTCTCAGTATAATTCAATTAATTTATCTGTATTTAAATGGGAACCCTCCCCTATCTCCCCCCCCCCCGAGCGATTTCCATGCATATTTCACCCAGGGAGGTTGCGAGTTGAACGGGGCTGTCAGCAGGTTCCCTAGGTAGATGGGCTCCCTCTATCTAGGCCACAAATGGGCAGCTCCTCGGTACTAGCTGTTGATATTTTACCAGATGATGTTACTGGAGAAATTCCATAGATCAGACTTGACCAAGGAAAGGACTAAATTCAGGCTTTGTCTCCCAGAAATGTGTGAGCTGAATGGTACATACAAGCAAATGTTCTGATATAAAAGACCTGAATGGATCTATCTATCTATCTATCTATCTAATCACTACCCCACTCCCGTTTTTGATGTTCATGTCAATGTTATAAACTAGGAGCCAGCCACATTACTGGACCATTCCTTGTTCATGGGAATCTGGAAAATTAGGATGGAGACAAACTGTGGAAAGATGATTCTGGAAATGTTTTGTTGGGGGCTGTATTGTTGGAAAGGGTTTTGGAGTCAAACTCCTCAGTCTGGGGAGAAGGGTCAGTGCTGCTGGAGCAGGAGAAAAGTCACCCCTGGTGCTCAGTAGCTGGACAGGCCCTTGTGATGCCCCTTTACAAAGGGGTGAATTTCACACATAGAGGTTTATCAATGGGCTGCCAGGGAAGGTCACTTCTAGTTTATTGGCCAAACCCTTCTGGCCCATAATCTGCACTCCGGGCTCAGCGTTCCCACTGCTCTTCACTGAGAGCTCAGCTTCTCCAGTGACTTCAGAGTGTCTGATCAAAAAGTCCCGATGAGTCCCTGAGGACATCCACAGAGCGAGGGCAGACACATCTGCTCCTCCCTGCTCCACTGAAATCCACCCTGGGTTTCTGCTCCCCGCGCTCCCCGGGGGAGATGGAGTCAGCGGAGTCACTGTGTGTGGTGCCGACAAGGGGAGATACTTTGGTCTGTTCTTATTGCTGTGGAACGAGAGCGCCGCCCCCAGGAAATCCCTTCCCCGGGCTCTGCAGGGGGAGGTTTTTGTTTGAGCTGAGATGGTTTCTCCCTCGCATTGTGTGTCCTGGCGCAGTAATACACGGCGGTGTCCTGGGGTTTCAGGCTGGTCATTTGCAGGTAGAAATTGGAGCTGTCTTTGGAGGCCGTGAATCGGCCCTGGATGCTGTCAGAGTAGTAATTCGTAGCTGTAGGTGTGTGATACCTGACCAGCCTCTCCAGCCCCTTTCCCGGCTCCTGTCTGACCCACGCCATATAATCGCTGGAGACAGCGAACCCGCTCACGGCGCATTTCAGCCGAGTGGATTCTCCGGGTTTCTTCAGTTCTGGACCTGACTGGGTCAGAACAACCTGTGACCAGGCCCCTGTGGGAAAGGGGAGAGAGAAAAGCGAACAATGAGGGAACCAGTCACATGAAACAC